GACAATTGAATATTAAGAAAACATCCCAGCCCAGTCCAGATCAAGTCCATAAGTTCAATATTAGCTCATATATCTGATACCAATCTATAAAGTCCCCTTCAGACTCATGAAACACAGGTAATGATGCTGAATGCAGGAAGATCACAGGCCAGAGGGTGAGAAGTCTTGTGGATCCAGTGGCAGTGTAAGCATCTCAGCACTAGCAGGGGTCTCCACGTGGCTTCTCCTGCTCCAAGGCTCTGGCTGCCATCAGCCTGTCTCCATGTGTCTTGTCAGCTGCAATGTCTCTCTGGGAGTGAGCAGAGAGAGTGTTTCCTGCCTCCGAGGAGGAATACAGAAGTTCCCAGAGTCCCTAGGAGAAAGCCATGCCCACACAGAGACCTCATTGGCTATGACCTGATTGACATGCTAGACTCCACCACTTCACTCTTAATCCTCTCAAATTGACAAATAATTATATAACTATCACAGAGGATATTTTTTACTTATGATGTAGAGATTATCTCAGGGAAATTGTTTCATTAGTTGAGGAAACCTGGAGTCAATGAGAAGTTGAAATTCTGTTCCACATTTTCCCCTTTTGAACAGGATTCTTCTACAGGAACATTAAAATGTTCAGTCATGGTCACCAGTCACAACCAGTTCTGGACTTATGGAAAAGGAGACAGTGGCCACATATTTCATATTCTTCTCATAATTATGACTCTCTTCTTCCTCTTTTGCTCCAATTGATGGATGATCACAAGCTTTTAAGTCCCCAGACACGACATAACAAATTATGTACAGCAGGTCCTGTGAATTCAAAACTCTGAGCCTCCAAACCAAGGAAACAAATCCTATGAAGTGTTTGGCTATACAAAAGCCTACGTAGCTACTCTTTTTATCTTTTGTCATTGTTGTAAATATCTCTATCACAATACTTTTACCAATTCAACTTTGTGCACGTGTACAATTTACCCCCTATTACACTGTCGAAACCTTAAATCAAATTTATTCCTGACGTTTTTTTTAAAGGAAAATGTAGTTTAGTTTAACTAGTATTAACTGGCTGCCTTGAGCAAGGTGCTCTTTAAAAAATGATCTCTCTGGGGCTCAAGTTGACAAAAGAGTAGATAAGAACTTGAAGGGGCAGTGAGTTCATTTTAATGTGAATGAACAAATCAGAAAAGGAGGATGATTGGTTACACTACATGAAAAATATAATCAATGTCGATGAAGCATACATATAGAAATGGTTGAATGGTCATCTCTATATTCTCAACAACAAACACATTTAATATAACAATTAAATTAGAATAGGTACAGAAACCACTCAGCCCAGCACTGGCACACAAAATAGACAGATATTGAGGTAGTTCCTTTTACATTATGTTCAAAGACAAGGTGACAATGACCGTTTCCACTCATTTTTCTCTTCAAAAAAGCTTTTCGGAAATAGTAGCTCTACTTTCCATGTCTGGTTATAGATTATTCTAATAATGAAGTTTAAGCCAAATAATAGGGAGGATTTGCTGACACAAGCTGGTGAGAGAGATATTTGAAAGTATGTGAGACATTGCATCCTTTAAAATTAAACCAGGCCTGTGCATATTCCCAGCTTACAACAACCTGGAGCAGGCAGTCTTGTAGACATGGAGAGTCAAGTAGCTTCTTTGTATTGCTTTTGTAACTGGCAGACAGGAAGAAGAAGCTACGAGAAAAGGCCTGCATTCAGTATCATCTCCTCTACATAATTCCTAAAAGCTCCCATTTAAAACTAAAAGATCCCCTGAGAAAGTATTGACCACTTACACCTTATTTCAATCAGCTTTCCTTCTTACTATCTCAGAGTTGCTGAATTAGAGGTTTTGAATCAGGATTCAAAGAGTTAGTCATGAGAACATACTTAGGTGGGGTTAAAGCCCCTGATTTTAGGCAGGCTTAAACAAAAACAGACAAGACCGGGTATCTGAAGGAACTGAAAATAGGTAGAAATTAAACATGGAAGACAGAAATGAAAAAACTGTGCAATACTGTCTAGATTTGATTATCACATCTTGGAGTCACTAAAAGTCAATCTCTATACCTGGCTTCCAAAAAAAATGGGAAAATCTCTACTTAAAATGACTGAATTCTGATGAGGACAATGAATGTACAAATGCGCTTTACACAATTGATGTGTGTATGGATTGTGATAAGAGTTGTATGAGCCCCTAATAAAATGATTTTTTTTTTAAATGACTGAATTCATCAGCATGAATTCAATGAGGCTGTGTGCACAAGGCTGATCACCATGCATGCCAGACATGTGAAATGTGTTGAGTGCTAAATGAACAACCAACCCAATAATGACTGAGGGCCGACTCTCACCTCAAGATCTTTTGTTGCTTTAACAGTTTTTCTTTATGCTAATATTTTATAAGCATCTTCATTATTCACTTGCTTAAAGCTACTCAATTGTCCATCACAGTTGTCAGTATGTGTTCTCTACTGCTACCAAAATATCCTGTGTGTCTTCAAACATGAATTTCCAGAGAGCCCATTTTGTAAGTGTTTGTAATGGCTCTGTAATGCACGCATACTTTATTCCTGACCATTTGGAAAATGTGACCATTTACCTCTATAGCTTTACTATCACTTTTATAGGAGATCGTTCAAGTTTGAAATTTTCTGACAAAGACCATCCTATCCAGTCACCAAACTTAGCTCTTCACCCTATTGCCTTGTCCAATGCTACCACCCATAGGACAAGCTGCTTCAACCTCCTCAGTGACCCTACCATGGACTTCTCTTGGGGGACACAACTTCCTTCCTCTAAATACACTTGGCTACAAATGAAAGAACCAGGAGGCCTTGTCTAGCCTCTTAATGATGCTTTTAAACAACTGATCTTCTATAGTCATTAAAAAAAATCCTCCTCTGAAGCCTACTTTATCCAAGTCTTCCCTTCTGGTTTCATCCACGCTCTTTTTCCATAGCAATCTTTTTGTACCTGGTATATGAGGGTGCTACAAAAAGTTCCTAGAA